AATGATCATTAATCATTTTTTGACTTAAAAAAACACCACAAAAACTGAGCCACTGTTTTATTTGTGGGGGTGAAGTGATGAGGGTATTGCAGATGAGTAATGCTAGTTAGCTCACTTGGATGACAACTTGGATTATAATTTAAATGTAAATTACTTTTTTAATTTTTTTATAATGCATTTATATTTGGACTGTTGTCATGTTGTCATACAAATTAACTAAATAACATTACTCATAGGGGATCAACATTACATGTGTACTTAACGGAAACAGTCACGGATGTAATGTCTATCCCTAATGAGTAATGTTATTTAGCCAATTTGTATGACAACATGGTAACAATCCAAGTGTAAATGAATTACAAAAAAATTAAAATATAATGATTTATATTTGAGTTGTAACCCAAGTTGTCATCTAAGTGGGCTAACTAGCATTGTTCTTCAAGAAAAATCTTACTAATTTAGATGAAACAAAAGTTGATTGCAAATTTCTCTTGCTACTGTATAAAATTTTAATCTCCTAATTATTTGATTGCCTAAATTTCAAAGTGAAACTACTCACAAAACACACCTAAGAGCTAATTGATAGATGAAGTTTTGACTAAACTATAAAATAATATTTGGTAAATAATTATGATTAGTCAAGAAAAGTGCTTGCATATAATCATCTAATGCTATAATTGTACACGTTTAATTCCCCGCATTTATGCATCTTTTGACTTATTTGATATTATGATCAACTCTCGCGCTTTGATGAGTTTTTGAGTAATTTTCAGTATTTTTGGAGCTATTTCCATTGCATGATGAGGTGTGGATGCTCGGAAGAAGGACAAAGAAGTGTTGTCAGCAAGTACGGGGACACTCCGTACTGAACCAGCAGGCCCCGTATTCTTATAGCAGACCCGCAAATCACGCAATTGGCAGGGGAATTAATATAAGTGGGCCGCAATTAATACAGCTGAAATGGGCCTGGGTGGACTAAGTAAAAGAAATTAATTGTTGGACTTTGGGGCATAAACAGGAGAAAAGTGACGTGGCCCAAAGGGAAGGGAGGACATTAGGAGATTTTTGGCTTGCGGGGAAAAAGGACTGATTACTTTGACCTGGGAACATATTTTTCTTGTGGCTGCGAGACCTATGGGAAGAGATGGCGATTGACAGCAACTGAACAGAGACAACGGGCATTAGAGAAGACTTTTATTCTCTTTTCTTTACTCTTTTCTTGTGTAATTAAATTCTTTGATTATGTTATTGAATACTATGAACGAGTAGTTTCTTTATTCTAGTCCCGGGGAAATCGAACCCTATGATTGACTATGTTTTGATTAATTTTTATGGTTGATGAATTCAATATCTTCTTGGAATTGCTTGTGTTATTTTGAATAATTCACCATGATGTGTTAGTCTTATTTAGATTGATCACCTAGATTAGGCTTTTCATATCTACATCTGAATTAGACCTGCAATCCGTAATTGTTGTTGTGTTTAATTCATAAGAGGTAACCGGAAGATGGTAACTACCGGGGATAACACGGCCTAATTAAGTGAACGAACGCGGTTGAGTTTACTACTTAGTCTAGCCTATTTTTCTAATTCGTAAAGCGGCTAATTGTATTAAATCTTGAAAAGGACTGTACAAGAAGTCAGGTTTAATCGTCGAGCGTCTCGCGGTTAAATTAAAAATAAGGAAAAATTCGGGTAACAGACCGTGTCGTTACCTAGGGCTAGTAATTCCAGGAGATAGCGAAATCTGATACTAAAATTAATTAGACGAGTCAGTCGAGGGTGTAGACGGAACCGTGGACTAGAAGCTTTCCCATTTATTTGATTATCATCTTTATTTGTTGCATTCGAGTTCATTCCGTCATTCATATTTCTATTAGTTAATTAATTTCCACCATAATCCCCCCTTTTTATTAGTATTGTTATGATTTCAATTAAAGAAAATAATTACAATTAAATTCCACACTCCCTGTGGGTTCGACCCTTGCTCACTACTACTGCTAGTTGGTAGAAGTTGGGTAAGGAAAATAAATATTATATTTTGACCGTGTTGCGACGCGCGGTCAAATTAGTTGTTTCATTATATAAAAACAACCATATTTATACTTCTCTATTCTTAAAAAATTCAAGTTTTTTTTTTAATTAAATTACATGTTTGCAACAACAAAGCTATTTTACACATCTATTTATCAAATAATAAATTAGAGGTTCTAACCAGTGGCGTAGCTAGGGTTCAAATTTATCCGGAGCTGACTAATACACTTAGTTGGTATTGCAATATTTATACATCGGATGTTTTTTATGATAATTATTCCAACCATTTTTTTTATTATCATTTCAAAACACCATCTAATTATTAATTAATTTATATATTTGTGGTGTAGTTTATCTTAGGAAGATATATAGCACAAGTTTCGGTGATGAAAAGATCGACATGTTTTTTTTAAACAGAAGGGTATACACATTTAGAATTTTTAAAGTTTTCTTAATATTAAAGAAAATAACTGTATCATGGTTTTGACTTTTTATGATTTTTGAAACTATTGAGTTATTGTATTGAGAATTTGAAAACTCTTAAAAGTCGTGAGAGAATTATTTATGTAACACTGAAATTCATTAGGACTTTTTAAGATTTACTGAAGATTGAAACACAAATTATATGTCAAAACTTACTCCCAATCTCGCCTTTGAACTTAAGATTTCTAATAAGGTATTTCACCAAGTAAGTAATTTTTTAAAAGTTCTGAATTTAAAAATGACTTAAAATATCACTCAAAATCTCAATAAAAAAATGTTAATTGCATTATATATCTTATTCCATATGTATACTTGTTCCATAAGGAATTGTAAAATAAACATAATATTAATAAATTTAAATAAAGTTTAGAAAAAAATTCTAAAAGTCTACCTATGGTGATATTGATGTTATTAAGCATGTTTTTATGGGATATAGGAATTACATATTTATTATTTTAATACTCCAATAATTGTAATTATCAATTATGTCGAATCACATCATTTTATTTAAATCAACTTTTAAAAGAAAAATAAATTTGAAGATTTTATTTTCATATCAAATTTATTTGTAATTTGTTATTATTAATTAAGTAATTACTAAAAAAATACCATAGTTGTTATTTATCCAAAAAAGAAGTTTGAAATCGAAGTTGTATGACTTGAAGCTCCTAAATACTCATATTAGCTGTTTTTTTTTTTTCGAAACGATAGAATTCATTCACTAAACACACAATTACAACCGGCTCACTAGTCGGAATAGGAGGACTACCCAATGCAGCCTAAATACCACAACACACAGAACGAAAAATAAAAGTGATTAAATTTTACTTTCTTATTGTTAGGGGTGAGCATGGTGCGGTTCGGTGCAAAACCGTACCGAACCGTAAAAAATCAAAAATAAAAAATGTACATTTGTTCAAACCGAACTGCACCGAACTTTGAGGAAAAACCGAACCAAAACCGCACCAAAATTTTCAGTTCGGTCCGGTACGGTTTCGATTAACCGACTGAAAATGGCCATTGCCGAAGAACACTGGTCCAATTGAAATTAGTCCCACCAAATCGCATATCAAGCTTAACATATAAAAATTACCCAAAGTTTATTGAAAAGTAAAATTAGGGTTGTTTGTCACTGAAGAAAAAAGGACGAGATGGGAAAAGGAGATGGGAAAAGGAAAGAAGAAGACTGAGAGTGAGAGGTGACCTAAATTGAGGTCGGTGACGACGAGCGAGTCGGAGGTTGGACAGCCGGCGACGAAGAGTGAGAGACGAGAGAAATCGAAAGATGGGCTGTAGCGTGACTATATCTGCGTGAAAGGCAGAGAGAGAATTGAACTTGACTCTCACGCATAGAGATAGAGATCTGAACTTAAAACGAAAATGGAGTCCATTTTCTTCAGTTGAAAAACTAGGCCCAAAACTACATGTAATGTTTTCAATTATTAATTATTATTGTATTATTACTTTAATTAAAACCAAATGACCCAAACAAAGGCCCAAAAGTCTGCTACAGTGCAAAAAAAAAAAAGACACTTTTAACATATTCGGTGCGGTTCGGTTAAAACCGCACTCTTCGGACACAAAACCGAACCGCACTAATTTTTTTTGCGTTTTTTCAAAATTCTGACCGCACCGCAAACCGAACCTTTGAAAAATCGAACCGAACCGCACCGAATACATCGGTTTGGCTCGGTTTTGCTCACCCCTACTCATAGGCGGACCCACACAGGGGCCGGCAGGGGCAAGTGACCCTGTAGAAATTAAAAAAAAAAAAAAAAAATCTAATATATGGGTTGAGTGATTTATTTGCTATGATATGGGTCCCTTTTGTTAAGTTACTAACAATAAAAATACATTCTTCAAAAGACATGCCTCCTAGACATCTATATAAGTTCTCGTGGCATTCAGGATTTAATTTTTTTAATAGAAATTAATCTCTGTATTTGTAATGATAATAATAATAAACCAACTCCATTGATTTAGGCCTTTAGGAATTTCCATGGAATTATATCCTAATTGTAATAACAAATTAACTCCTAAGACTTATACATTTTTTTTTTCAAATGTTTTCATTTTTTAACTGTAATTATAATTTGTAAATTAGCTCTAAAGTATATCCGATTGGTTTTATAATTAACACAAATTTTATCATATTTAATGTTAATAGTTGAATGATAGTTTAATAACTTATAATTTAAGTAAAGGTTTGAAAGGACACATAATGATATAATTAATGTTATAAAATAATAAGTTATTCGTGAAAGTTAAATTGTGCCCCTCCCATTTCAAATTTCTGCGTCCGCCCCTGCCCCTACTTATTGTCGTTAATGAAAATAAAATTAAAAGAATTGTTAATAAAGTGAAATCTTTAATTGAGATTGGTAAGAAAAATCTTTCAATTTTAATGAAGTTAAATCAAAATAAAAGTAAGATATAAATATATTGATACATTGTTCTAATTTTGTTAGGTAGAGCTATAGCCTACCCAAGCCTCCAAGCTCCAATGTAGCTATGCCCCTGTTCTAACTTATCAAACATCTAATTCATCTTTAACCTGAAACATTAATTACAAAATAAGTCCTATAGTTGAATTTGGCCAAAACAACTATTCATATACCATCTTTCTCGTTGACTGAGTGTTCTCAAAAGAGAACTACATGATATTATAATAACAATAAAAAACAACTAAAAGACCCCATCGTCAGTCGTCACTAGTGGAGCTCGAGCTGTTCTCGCTTGCAAGATCAAATCAAAAACCCACCCAAAGATTTCAGTTCTTCTGCACAGTCGTCTCTCTGAATCACAACCATTCTCTGTGGGGAAAAAAACCCAGAAAAAAAAAATGCATTCAAATCACTTGCTGCTGGAGGAGCCAATCCGGATGGCCTCCATATTGGAGCCATCCAAAGCGGTGAGCAATTTGTTTATTTGTGCGTGAGAGTGCGCGTTTTATGTTTTCGATTTGTGTTTTCGATCTGTATTCGTGTTTGCGTGAGTGATTTTGGATTTGGGCGATTGATATGTCGTGACCTGCCGCAGAATTTTTTCCCGGCCATGACGAAGATCGTCGGGACTTTGGGCCCACGCTCCCGTTCGCCGGAAGTTATTTCCGCTTGCCTTGGGGCCGGGATGTCTGGTGATTGAAACGAATTCTCTCTCTCTCTCTCTGTGTGAATATTTTGGACAGTATTTTCTTTTTGTTGTTCCCTCGGTAAATATACTCTCTTTTCTGCCCTTTTATAATGTGGTCAGTTGCAAGATTTGATAAATTCACTCTCTTTCTNTCATGGGGCAATGCTGAATATCATCAGGAGACTCTGGAAAATCTGAAGGCTGCCATCAAGGGCTCTAAGAAACTGTGTGCTGTATGTATTTCAATTTATGCGGTTTTATCCGAATGTGTTCTGTGAGTTCAAGTAGTTTTTGAATGTAGTAAGATGAAAGCAGAGGCTTTTATGTAAGATGGGGTTTGATTATGTTTGGTGCTGTGTGTCTATTTCTGCATTTTTCGACCTTTATCTTGCTGCAGGTTATGTTGGATACTGTGGGCCCTGAGTTGCAAGTTGTCAATAAAAGTGGAGAAGCTATAACACTTAAGGCAGATGACAATGTTATTCTAACTCCTGATCAAGGTCAAGAAGCTTCGTCTGAGATTTTGCCTATCAACTTTGCTGGACTGGCCAAGGTTTTAAATGCTTCCACCTATTTATTACAGTCTCCTAAATTGTCTGCATAGCATAATTATGTTGCTTTATCTCATAAAATCGAAGTTTTTTGGAAGCTTAATTGGCTCTATTTGCATAGAAATACCTATTTCTATCAAAGTTTAGGGTACGGATATTGTAATAGCATATTTCTTGAAAGAAAATGAAAGTCAACATTCTTTCTAGAAGTCAAGAGGAACATTTATCTCCATTATTCATGAAAATGCTGCAAAGTGAAGGTCATATATAAGTTGCTGAATTGCGTAAACATACAAAGAGTACAAAAGAGAGTAAATTATTTTTAAAAGTATGTGTCCAAACTCCAAAGATCAAAAGCTCGAATATGCTCCATCAATCAAAACGTTTTATAGGTTTGGTTTAGACTAGAGGTGAAAAACTAACTTACCAATATTATCTTTGAATACTGTTTTAAGGGGTACTGAAAATGTTACATTAGTTAGTGGATGATAAACAACTTGAAAATCTTAATATATTCTGGGATATTAGTAAAATGAATAACGTTGATGAACTTTAAAATAGGCAGTAAGAAAGTAAAATAGTAATTGAAATTTTTTTACCATTTATTGGAGTAGATTCCAGGGGGTTGAGTTTCTAAATGCCCGTTCTAAATCTGCTTTCTATCTTCCAACAATAGTGAGCTATGTCAAAATTTTTTGAACTGTCACTCTCTGATTCCCGCAGGCTGTGAAGAAGGGAGACACCATTTTTATTGGCCAGTACCTATTTACAGGAAGTGAAACCACTTCTGTGTGGCTCGAGGTATTTATTCGAGTTCCAATTTCAGTTTAACAAGGTTTACTTTATTTCTTCTTATCCTGAACGTTATGCCATGAAAGTTCTTTTTTTTTTTTTTTCTTTTTATTCTCCTTTTTCCATTCTTTCATGCGTTGCTATTTATCTTGATTTGTTGCGCTACTTGAAATGAATGTTTTTTTTTATTGTTTTCTTGGACAGGTAAATGAAGTGAAAGGCAATGATGTGGTTTGCATTACCAAGAATTCTGCAACATTGTCTGGATCATTATTCACATTGCATGCTTCTCAAGTTCGTATCGAGCTGCCAACTTTATCTGAAAAGGATAAACAGGTTAAGTATTGGTTAATGGCTTTCTTTGGATTTTAAATCTTATTTGGTGTTTTCGTTCATCGCATGCAATTTCTTTTATGTTGAGGCTCTTGGGAAATACATGTAAATTTCTATCTGTCTTACCCAATATTTTTTTGAATCTATAACTTCTCTTCTACTTCAGGTTATCAGCTCATGGGGTGTTAAAAACAAAATCGATTTTTTGTCATTGTCTTATACACGTCATGCAGAGGATGTTCGACAGGTATATATAGATATATAGAAAGAACATGAATATCTGAATTTTATAATGTTCCGTTTTTCTTGTTTTCTGATAAGCTTCTTGATATCTTCTATTGCAGACCCGTGATTTTCTATCCAAGCTTGGTGATCTTAGTCAGACACAAATTTTTGCTAAAATTGAAAACGTAGAGGTGAATGTGAATCTCTGTTGCTAATGCGAGTAAAGGATAATTTGAGTTGCTCTCTTGCATAAAAATTGGGTTTATACAAAAGAATGCATGAAGTTAAACAGTTCCCCACGATTTGCTCACTTGTTTTGCAGGGTTTAACCCATTTTGACGAGATTCTGCAGGAGGCCGATGGAATCATCCTTTCTCGTGGGAATCTTGGAATAGATCTTCCACCTGAGAAGGTTAGTTCTTGTAATGATTGGTGTGTGTAAGGAAGACACTTTTAGTCAACATAAAATCATTTCAGTTTTTTATTTTTCGATTTTTTATCTGGTAATAGTCATTAGGCATATGATTGATTTGATTTTATTGCATTGGACGGATAATTTTGGTGCTAATTGTCGTACATTAGCTGCCCGAACACTTTTAGGGAAATATTTTTCACTCACATTTACATTTGATTCGCCGTTTAAGTTTACTAAATTATATATTATAGTTATTTAAGTTTACTAAAAAAAAATGAACTTATTTTTTTTGCCCTGGTTAGGTCAACAAAGGCATGAAATATTTCGAGTTTTCTTTTTCTATAAAACGAAATGGATTTACCTGAACCAATACACGTTTATATTTTGCACCTGTTGAGAATTCTTACTGACCTGTTTTTTCTGTACTTTGCAGGTGTTTTTATTTCAGAAATCCGCCGTTTACAAATGCAACATGGCTGGAAAGCCAGCAGTTGTGACTCGTGTTGTCGATAGTATGACCGACAATCTAAGGCCCACTCGTGCAGAGGCAACTGATGTGGCCAATGCCGTTTTGGATGGTGGGGTCACATTCTTAAATTCTTGGAAGGAAAATTGCTATTAATTCTATGTTTGGTAAAACTAGCTGATAGCTGACGATATGCAAGTTTATAGCTTATAAGTGATTTTCGAGCTTATAGCTGAAAAACTAGCTTATATAATAAAAGTGTTTGGTAAATTAGTTGAAATAAAAATTTCAACGAGCTTATTGAAAAGCTACCCAAGGAAGACTATGAGATAAATTCGATCTTTATAAAAAAAGTTTGTCTTACCAAACGAAGGTTATTTGAATACAGGAAGCTTATAAGCTAACCAAATAAGCTATAAGCTAGCTTATTTGGTTACCAAACATAGCCTTAATGTTTTCATTACCGGCCATAATTTTTTTTTTTTTTCGTGTTCTTGTTATAGGATGTGACACGATTCTTCTTGGGGCCGAGACCTTACGTGGGCTATACCCTGTTGAAACTATTTCTACAGTGGGCAAAATTTGTGCTGAGGTTAGGGGCTCGTGCATGCATTTTATAAGCCAAGGTTTAGACTTACTATACGTAATGAAATGTTAAGTAAGTTGTGTACTGTATGTTTATGTGCAGGCCGAGAAGGTTTTCAATCAAGATCAATACTTTAAAAGGACCGTAAAATTTGTGGGCGAGCCCATGACTCATCTTGAATCTATTGCATCTTCAGCTGTATGTTTCTACAGAAAAAATAAAATAACAAGAAAAAGAAAATGGCTTGAAAAATCCCATCTTTCTTTTTCTTTTCCTCTAATCATTTTGCATCAAATTTAGGTCAGAGCTGCCCTTAAAGTGAAGGCTTCGGTTATCATATGTTTCACCTCATCCGGAAGGGCTGCCAGGTAATTAATATATCGATTTCTGAATATTCTTTTTTTTTTTAATTTACCAATTAAGCACGACTTACTATCATTTCCTGTTAAATGCAGATTGATAGCCAAGTATAGACCAACAATGCCTGTTTTATCTGTCGTCATCCCTCGGCTGAAGACAAATCAATTGACGTGGAGTTTCAGTGGTGCATTCGAGGTAAATACCCCATAATCGAAATTTTATCCTTATTTTTCAAATGCTTAATTTTTTTCGTAATTTCTTTTTGCACTTTAGGCGAGGCAATCTCTCATAGTACGAGGTCTTTTCCCTTTGCTCGCTGATCCTCGTCATTCGGTAAGTTCCTTTTGCACTTTAGGTCCCTTTTTGCCGTGTTTTCTATTCGATTAGGTCCTATCATTTTCTGGTAATTATTATTCTTATACGATCTATTAGGCTACAAACAAAACAAACGATTCAGTTCTAAAAGTGGCACTCGACCATGGGAAAGCCTCGGGAGTGATTAAGTCACACGACCGAGTTGTGGTTTGCCAGAAAATTGGAGATGCATCGGTAGTGAAGATTATCGAGCTTGAAGATTGAATTTGAAAATGCCTCGACTGTCAGATCGAGTGTCCTGTTTTGATTTTTGCTTGACGATCATAATGCCGATTGCCATAGAATTGAATGGTGATTCTTTTTTATGGAAATTTATTTCCATAATTCAACACTTGAAAAGAATAAGATTTTTGGGCTAGATTACTGATGGAAACAGGGGATGATTATGATTATGATTATGATTATGATTATGATTAATGTTAGTGCCCTTCTGATTCTGGCTAAGGATCAAACGTGGCAAAAATTGTTGTAATTTTGATATTTATGGAAATAATGAAATATGGTGATTGTACATGTCACCATTGAGGATTGACGACCAAAATTTAAGAGATACAGAAAGATCGTCTCAGAACTTGGTATAACTTTTGGGCCCATGTACCGAACATGAAAAGCAATATGCTTCAGCATCATCTTCATGCTTGTCATCAAGTCAGTAACCAAATCGAAATAGTCGTTGTAGTGTATAGGGGAGTACACGAGTGCGACTTTTATGTAGCAACGTAACAAAATGTGGAAGCGATTGAACAATATATTTTTTTAGGAAACATCTTGCTCTCCTCATAAATCTTTTCACTAGTAAATGGTTGCGCACACGTAGCGCAGTACAAATTTATGAGACTAGAACTTTCTTTTAATCCTATTGTCCCTGCACTTTACTTCCCTAGTTACTTTTTTGGCAACACGTGGACCTAAAAACCTGTAGTGGATCCATCCACAGAAACACGAACACTTCTCTCAAGTGTCGTGAATAAAAAATAAAAAGAAAGATATCTACCTTTCATCTCGTAAGAACATGAACTGAAAGATCAATTAAATTTAAATCTATGAAATACAATGATATATGGCTCTCAAAACTCTTAGAATTCTGAGAACATAACAAGCTCTCTCTCCTTCTCTCAATCGTTACAATGCAATGATGAAATCTTCTGAATATATATGCGTCCTTCTTTGGTAGTATCACTTCAGAATCTTCATATTGGTAAGTTTCCTTTATTGCCGAGTCTTCCACTTGTTGATGATCGGTCAACGGCTAATAACTGGTATAAGGGTGATGAAACGTTAAGAGAACAGTGGTTTGCGAGATAGACGAGTTTTATTGCTTAATTACAAGGTCGGCATATGATGGTGGGGTCAGCTCTTATGTTATACTTTGGGAATAATTAGAGCATCTCCAATGCTATAAGTGTGAAAGACCATTATTTTTAACACATGTCAATTAGTGATTATAATGTTAATCCACATTGGAATAATGTTAAAAGATTAAAAATTTCAATGAAACTAGTATCTCCAATGCATCAATTTGATAAGAAGTTATTTGTATAGGTGGACTAATTAAATAATTCATTGATACAAAAAAAATAAAAAATTAAAACAAATATAAAGTAAATTGTTAAGTCATCATGTTTAACATGGTGTTAGATATTAGAAAGTGTGCTCAACATTGTCAACATTAAATGGCATCCACCTCATCATGAAAGAGTTCATGACAAGATGCATTGGAGAAAAAAATAGAGACACACTTTCAAAAGTTGATGATATGGATGACTTTTTATAATGTCAAAAGTTGCATTGGAGATGCTCTTACAAGCTTTTCTGCAGAATAAATGTTGAGAGAGAGAGAGATGGTAGGGGAATCAACCACCCCAATAAATGAGGATGAACTTCTATTTATAGTAGTCCTAATCTAGCACTGTTCAGCCACTGTTCATTCTGTCTCATCGTACAGTAACTCGAAAATGACAATTCGGCGCCGTTCTGACAAGCATTAAATAAGGTTTGAGGTTTCTTCAATAATTATCTGTCAGACATTAAATGCACACATGTGTGACATTTAAGTTGGCAGACCTTCCTGCTGATCTAGGTTCCCTAAGGTGGCAGACTAGAGTGGCGCGTCCCATCAGCAATTATTACTCGACAAGTGGCAATATTTTACTATTTCCAGGTCCTACACACGTGTAAGAGTCGGCCTTGTTGAATCTTCAGGTCAGACTCTCGCCGTCACTTCATCTTCTGGTCTTCGAGGTCCTATTTTTCTGCCCGTCGTTCATGGAGATCCACGTCGTCCCTCGGTCTCTCAAAGTGTCGTCCTCAAGGACTACTGTACACACCATTCTCGTCGACTTTGTTCCCCGACGAGCCTGGCCATTCGGGGCAACCTAAGTGCCGACTTGACTTTCAGGGCCGTCGTCGTCCGGTTCTAGTGGCTCAACTCGGATATCAACACCACTAATGAAAGAAGCAAATCCCCAACTCGCGTCCATCCTCAAGTTGCTAGTACTTCTCTCTTTCGCTAAAAAGCCACCTTGTTTTACCCGCCTGCTAGGGTTGGCGCTTGGTAATTTTGAAATTCAAATTTTAAACTTTTGATCTTTAATTTTTATCTAGATTCAATCCCGACTCGAAACCAACAACTACAAATTTGATTTTGATCGTTGGATCTTGTAGTTGTTGCAAACAATTGAGATTCACTTGGCCTGGTGGGTCGATGGGATCGACCCAGAGCTGGCACGTCGGCGTAATAGAAATTTATTTTTATTCTTTTTTTTTAAAAAAAAACACTTACATTTGAAACTTGAACCGGACATAATGGGTTCTTGAACTGGAACCTTCATATTTCTGGGCCGATTCCAGTTTAAAAATTCACAACCAACGGTCGTGCCAGGTGGCCATGTCTAATTATTAGGCAATAAAAGTATAATATATCATAAAATAAATATGTGTTTTTGTTATAAAGAAATATGACGGGTCGACTTGCCTAGCGTTTGGACTAGATATTTTTTCAATAAACTTAAGGATTCATCCACTTAATTTTTTTTATACAAATTCACTTAAATATTTTTAACTATCAATCATTTACACGTATTATTTTTCAGTTAAATTAATATTAATTATTATATTTTATCTCATATACATTTAAAATTAAAATTATTTTGTTATTCCCGACCTCATTTTTTATTGATTTTTATAATAGGCAAAGGTACATTCATAAACTGCGGGCGGGCAAACAAAGACGTCCCCTTCAAAATTGAAACTATACACAAAATAACTAGGGATCGGCGCCTCAATTTACAAAATCTTAAATCTCTATAAATCCTGTCTTTTTTATTTGTCACGCACACCGAACAATAATTTTTTTCTTGACTGCCACCATTTATTATTTGATAGGGACTACTTAACTGTGATTAATTGTTTTTTTGTGCTCATTTTATTACTTTGTTTCGATTTATTTGGGACCATCGGTTTGACAAAATTAAAAGTCACAATGAGAATCCTATAAAATTGCCATGTGAAGTTTCAAGAGCACAACACAAGTAGGATCTTATTAGGCTTTGTTGTTAAATGTATTTTGATTTAAAAAAATATCATTGGATAAGCTGCAAAAATAAAAGTTGTCCATCAAATGTATTTTGATTTAAAAAAACATAAAATTCTGGGGCTCAACATATTCGTACCATTTTCTCCCACAAACTCGGTATATACTTTGCATTTCATTCAATTTTCAAATGCAATATAATAATTGAAAGAATTATCAAATGTCACGATATTAAGGTAATTATAGTTATTACTTAGAACAACTCCAATGCTGCTCTACATTGTAATTTTACTTAAAGAATAGTGTGAAAAAACTTGTTTTAATGTTGCGTTACATTTTCGCACTACTCTAAAGATGTGAACAATATTGTTATACACGTAGTGCAGTACTATCCATCGCGCTACAATTTTTTTTATTCAAATTTTTATTTTATATTTGATTTTTATTTCGAAATATTATTTTGACAAAATATACATCAATAAGATTATGTATTTTATTAAGTAATTTTAATTTTAATTTTACAGTTATATTTAAATTTTTATTTTGCACTAATATATTTTACGTAGAGTAAAATGTAGCGCGAATGACTAGAGACGGAAATTAAATTTTGACATTTTTTACTCACTAGAGTAAAGTAAACTCTACACTAGAATAGAATAATAGATTGAAGATGGTACTCTTACTACTAGACCTTTGTGTGCAGCACATATATACATATATACATGCAAGAATGAGAAAAATAAAGAGAAAAAATTATTGTTTGATACAACGTTACAGCTATTTTTGTTTGAAAATAATTTTTTAGTTGCATATGGCTTTATCATGTTAATTACATAATTCAATGTTCAATAGAATCAAGATTTAACTACAATTTCAATCATGATCGCAAAATTAAACTCACCTAACTAGGTATTAAATATGTTGCAATTACCCTTACCTTATACTAATTTTCTTCTTTTTATTTCTACCATTTTTCATGGTAGGTATGACTTTATAGAATAATATGTGAGCAAGAATAATTTTTTGTTGGATTTGTGGTGTGAAGGTGACCCCAAAGTCATTAAATGCAAGCTGCAGAGTGAAAAAAAGGGGGTAGAATTTGAAGTGAGAAATTTTCAGCTTTGATCTATATTAATGCTGCAAAGTTTTACTCATTTACAGATTCATCCATCTGCAAATACAAACAATTCTCTCTCTCTCTCTCTCTCCTCTGCCATCTTAAAACTTGCAATTACTGGTAGTGTTAAGACATGGCAGTCTATGTACGGTATTCTTTTTTTTCCATGTTAAAATGGGTCCCCACTTGGCTAACTAGTCAAGTGTCTAATTTTTCTTGAATAACAATAGGTTGTTTTTAGACAAGTATAACGGTTAAGCAGTCTCACGGTTAAACAACCTTATATAAGGTTGTTTAGTTGTTGACGTTTTGTTAATTGGTGACGTTTATTAGTGTTACAAATTAATTTATCTATATATTTTGTTAAGAAATGTGTATACCTTCATACACTGACGGAGCCAAAGAAGGCCCAGGAGGGCCCGTGGGCCCCCCTCATTTATTTAAAAAAATCAATATATATATAATACTATGAATAAAATATATATAGAAAATCAAAAAATATTTACAATATATTTATAATTAGAAACTTTTTTCTATTTTATTTGAATTTAAATTAATAATATTATTTATTTATTGAAAAATGTACTAACAATACTTATATTTCATATTTCTAGATATATTTTTAAAAATATTTACAAGGATTTTACTCTTCTGCTCTTTTATTGTAAATCGATTTAGTAATCTATAAAATCGAGTAGTTATTGTTACTTTTTTTAATGTTGATTTTTTTACTTTTTTTGTGGCAATCACATATTTTTAATTTTATTTATTTTTTTCTTAAAAAAATGCTCATTTGATAAGCTTTCATCAACAAAAATGATATGCAATGTGCTGCAAATGTTTAATTTAAATAAAATTTTCAACAAGAAAACTTATTTTTCCATAAATTATGGATGTTCAACTTAAAGTATATAATCTCGATCATTTTTTTTTCTTTTTTTTTTGTTTATTTTTGTATAAGTTTGAGGGTGATAAGAATTATATTGTTTTAAAAACTTAATGATACACATATCGATTTTTATATTTACTAGTAAATACATTACATGAAATGAAGTTTCGACATAAATTATAAGTTCTTTATTTAACATTTAAAATCGGGCCCCCCTGAGTAAAATTCCTAGATTCGTCACTGCTTTCATACTGGTAGTATATACTATTCGTAAAGATGTGATGGGTCGACTCACCTAATGGTTAATCCAGTTCGTACTAGAATTTGTATTTCTCTAGGTTTTCTTCTTTATTATTTTTTTTTTTTCGTTTTGCTTGTAATTTTTTGACTTCAAAATAAATAGGAAATGAAATTCAAAGGAACTAAAGTGTTTCCCATTAATGTCAAGGACAGATTATTTTTTAATTCACAAAATTAACAAATTAACAAATTAAGTTGTGATCAATGTTTAGAGGTGGTCAAATTACTTGTATTTAAATAAAAATAAAAAAAGTATTATTATTATTATTATTATTATTGTTATTATTAAATGAGGATCAGAAAAGATAAGAAATAGCAGAGGGAAAAGGTACAAAGGATCTTGAAGGAAGAGAAAAAAAAAATGTGAAGATGACGACAAATTGTTTTTAAGAGAGGAAATAAAAGAAAAAATCGTATTACTTGTCAGTGGTACATATATACATTGGGTATGAACTTTGCAGTTGGAGGTCTTGAAGGGGACCAAACGAGGGGAGAGACCTTTGATTTTTCCATTTCAATATTCTCTTAGTTTCTCACACAACCGACATAATATAATTTTGACATTTTGAACTTAAATTGTAACCAATTACTCCATTCATTTTGTTTAATGTTGTTAAGAAAAAAAAAAATATTGTCTAGGCTTTAGGCCTAAGTTTATCTAATTTCTGGTCGAGAAAACGCACATACTAGTTTGGAAATGAACTTATTAATTAAATATTCAGTATTCTAGTACACTTTTTTATATTTTTATTTCTATTTTCTAAAATGGGGGATATAACTCTAGAGTGGGGTTCATCTATCTTATTGGCTTGAACTGAATTACTCTTTTGGCTTGGTCCGCGTAGACTGTTAGGATTAGCACGTATTTTAAAGCCAATATCGTTGTACTGCGCCATAATAAAGCTGGAAAAGAGAGAAAAATCCAAAGATGACCCATGTAGATGAATGAGGTTGGTCTTGTTTTGAGAAAGCAATAAAAGAAAATTAACACTAATTATTTTTATAAAAATAAAAATAAAAATGGTATATATCTTTGAGGCTTTTAAAAAAAAAAATTCATCTATCAACATAGGCACATTTGTGTATATAATGTGGTGATAAAGTCCCGTGGGCACAACTTAAATCTATGAATCTATTTGATTTGTTATTTTGGTTGAATCTCGAAAGAATGCAGAGAAATAGACTCCGATTCGACTTCAAAGTCAACTGAATAATCCAAAATATTATTTCCAGATATCTCAATGCATCAAAAGTTAAACAACCCACAAAGTTAGAATCGAGTTTTCTACGGCTAACAGTTTGGTTCAAATCCAATTGAATTTTTAACAGATCAATTATATAATTGTATTTATTTATAATATAAAAGGATTATAAAATAATTTAAATTACTAAGGGTGAGCAAAACCGAGCTAAAACAAAAAACCGAACCAACCGTGCAGTTTAGTGCTGTTCGATTCGGTTCATTTTTGTAATGTAAAAAAATCAGTTTCGATTTGGGTCTTTTTCTATATTGTGGTGCGGTGCGGTTACAGTTTTTTATAAGTTCGGTTTTCAGTTTTGTTTGGTTTGGTGAGATTCAATTCGGTTCGAATTTTTACAAATTTTCGGTTCGGTTTCGATTCGGTTTTTTCCAACATTGCGGTGTGGTGTAGTGCGGTGCGGTTATAGTTTTTTTTATAGGTTTGGTTTTCGGTTTTGTTTGGTTCGATACTTTTTCGCACTTAATCGCACCAAATTGAATAAATTGTGGAGAAAAATTATGATAAAACCAAAAACCTATCTGAACCATGCACTTCAGTGTGATTCAGTTATTTTAGTATAAAATAAATCAATTTGGCTTTTTCTTAATTGTGTTGCGATTCGGTTAGTTTT